GCAACAACCCCAGCGCTTCCGACGGCAACGGAACGCGCACAGTTCTGTGTCTCTAAGCGGGGAGTCGCTCCCAAAGACGGCGAGCGGGTGCAGTTTGACCATCTACCCGGGAGTGATCATAAATGCTCTTCCTAGGCCAAGTGTCACCCACCCGAGCGGAGCACTCTGCTAGAACAATCCCGGTGGGCGCAAGTTAAAGCTGCTTCACCCGACAAATGAGTCCAATATACAGCCCTCGAGATAATGAACCCACCTGGCTTTTTGTTTAAGAGCAGATATTCTAGAAGAAAGCTTAAGTTTTACACAAACTGATGGCTTACGCTCCCACATACAATATATATTAAAAAAAACAGGTAAAATTTTTAGCGCCCTGATGAACAGCCACAGTTTTCAGGTCTCCACCAACTCGGTTTGACACGCTGCAGCAGGGAACAGTCACTAAAACACCGATTTCACCTTCAAGTACAGGAAGGCTGTACAAGACAGTGGTATATCTCTGCAAGGTCAGGGATCTTTTTTAACAGAGCTCACTCTGTCAAGGAGAACTAAGAAAGTGTTGGGAAGTGTGATTTTCTACCTGCTTTCCCACCTTCACTACGCCTGTGTCCTGACCCTGTACCACAGACTGGTGTACATCAACACTCTTACTAGCCAACCGTGACTCGTCTGTTTGCTTCAGGATAAAAATCTGTCCAAAACATCAGTCCTTCAGCTCTTGTACCAAAATGCTATCCTGCTGTAAAGGAACAACACTTAGAAACAAATCTAAAAAAGAAAGACAACCGTACACACTGTGCTCCTCTGGCAGGTAGCGAACGAAGAGTAAGCCTGAAGATGGAAAAGCCAAACGCCGACGCGGTTTGTTTAGCCAGTACGTTAACACAGGAACCATGTAAACAGTTACATCAAGGTTACTTGCCTCACCCCTTCTGAAGAAGTGGGAGCAGGAAACACGAGTGAGTGATTTGACTCAGTCATTTCATTAAAATCATTCATTTCTGCCTGAGATTCATATAGTGCTTATCTACCAGGGCCCGCTTCGTCAGAAACGACCCAACGCCGCAGGGTCCGCCTGCCTACCTTACAGGCCCTGGTGTTCGCAGGGGAAGTGATCTGAAAGGATTAAAACCATTTTTTTGGGTGTTGGTTCAGGGGAGAAGCCTGCTGAGCATTTTTCCCAATTTACCTAATGTCACAGGTGCTCAGTGCCCTGGTGATTCCAACTCTATCCTTTGACTGACACCAGTTTTGAAGATCTTCAGTAAATTTAACAGGTCCCTTGCCACAAAATTCATCAACATTTTATGTAAACAGATGTGTTCAGACAAATTCCTGGTAAACTTCATGTCATCCACTACCAAGTCTTTAGTCTTTTCTGAAACCATCTAGTCTGACATCCTGCGAAACACATACTACAGGCCCTCTCCAAATTAATTTTTTTAATCAGAGCAGAGATAAGTCTTTTTTTCACATAAACTTGTTCAGACAACTGTCAGCAAAGGAAAAAACCAAACCTACTACTCCTCTTGCTGACTGGCGAGGGCATGGATTAGCTCAGTTTCTGCTTTCCAACACTGGACTTGGAGGCTACTAGGCAGAGGTTTGTCGTCTGCTCATGTAGCATTTATAGCTCAACCAAATCAACCTGCCATCTTTCTCCAAAGAGGGAAACTCAGAACTTCTGGACTCCCATTACAGGCACGTTGTCCAATCCTTTAAGTAGGCTCACTAGCCTTTTCTGAGGTCTCTTTTTCATCATCCTTCTTGAACTGCTCACATATGACCCGAACACACCAGACCAGAAGTAACCATATCCATGTCCAGTAAGGAGGCAGAAACTCCATTAAATATCCCCTTCTAAAGATTATATTAATCCTGACATCTGTGTTGCACCCCGAATTTATGTTTACGTTACGAAGTGTGACTTCTCCCAAACTCTTTTCAGAATTCTTTCCTCCCAAAATAGTGCCTAATCGTAGACTAACCTATCACTACTCATTGGATGATATAAAAAATAGAGGTCTTTCAAAGCACATAACTAAATAAAAATACACTATTCCCCCTTCTACTGACAGGAGAATGAGGTACAGAGATGTTAATACAACTGACAATCACAGTAAGTAAGAGGCTAAGTTCAGAAGACAGGCAGCTTTCCTATGCTCTAGCAAGGACACTGCTCCAAGCAGTGAGAACATGACATCGCGCCGCTTGCCACGTGTGCGGTCACGTTAGTAAAAATTCATTTAAGGAAGTCTTGGCCAGCATCACCATCCACAGGAATTGGCCGGTTGCGTGGGGCGAAGTGGGAAGCTGAACGGCCTATGTAACGCTACAGTTTGGGGGAAAGGGGGTGGCGGCACTACTTTGAAAAACCCAAGCTCGCAAGCTTACTCTGAGTGTGTAGAATGCTGTGTGGTGGAAGAGGAGTTCTGGGCAAGGAGTGTTTTTTAATTGTTTTTTTTCCAATCACATGGCAACGGTAACACCCTCCCCCTAAAAAAAATAAATAAATGAATCTGCAATGGAACTTCTGATAACATATTCTTAGTCACAAGCAGCACTCTGGGGCATGCTGTGCAACGTATTTGGCTCAAGTACACTTAGGATTGCTAGACCCAACTGGAGAGTCTCAAAGAACCTCATCAGCCGAAGCACGTTCTGCTGCGACACGTTCTTTTTCAGAAGAACAAATTCATTTTCGCGGGGTCAGCTACACAAGGCCTCTGCTGGGAACACATACGCTCACGTAAGGCCACTGAAAACAGCGTGGGAGGACAGAACACGAGGAGGCACTTAGGTTTGCAAGTACTTCTATCCATCACCAAACGCTTACTGCTTAAGCTGAGGCACACAGTAAGAAGTCATGAAGAAGGTAAAAATAAACCAGTGCTATATTAAAGCTCTTCAAGAACAGGTAAGGTACCTTCATGTAACATCTGGTTAGTGAAGAGAAGAAATACAGGTTGAGCTTGCTCCCCCTTCCCACGTCAGAATTTCAAGAGGACCGTATCATAGTGCTCCGTGCTTTGCCATGGCTCCAAAACGTACGTACGATGCAACAGAGTGAAACTGTGTACTGTGCCATCCACTGATTCCTCGTCACTAGACTCCTGCCTGCCTTAGTACTTCCTGCCAGGTACGCCCAAAGCTCCCAATCCAAGTATTTGTAAAGCATCTCCTAGCCAACCCCCACGCAAAGATTTATACTTACGCAGGAAGTCTGCTACGCCCAGGAACCCTAGCTTCAAACAGATGAGTCCAGCAACTTAGGGGATTTCTAGCCAACACCAGTCCTGAGAAATCGTAAGTCAGCTATGGTATCACAGTCTTCATAACGAAGTTAGGTGTGAAAAGTTTCTCTCCCCCCATCCCCCTTAAATTACTGCCACAGTCTACCAATTGCAACAATTTCACTGAAGTTTGGACTCGGAATTCTGAAAGTTGAATGAATTTTCTAGGATAACATACGCATTCTTCAAAGGTCAGATGTATCACTTTACAGGTAACTCAGACATAGGTCTGCCATAAAATTACAACTTGAGTCAACTTGAAGCTACACTGGAAGATTAAGCCTGAATTTCTGCAGAAATTGGCAATAATGTGTTCAGCAGCAGCTTTCAGCCACGTATCAAGAAGTCTGACAGGATCTGGATTTCTCTACTCCTGCTGTAAACTTCTAGTTAAAAAAAAAACCCAACACACCAAAGTTACTCAAATGAAAACGTCTTTTTGCACATCACTGTAACATAAGCTGCTTGAGGTTGTCGTGAAGGATGGTATCCTTAACATCACGGAAAACTAGCCGGATGTTTTCTGTGTTAATAGCAGTGGTGAAGTGGTGGTAGAGGGGCTTCTGCTGCTGGTCCCGGCGTTTAGTACGAAAACAATCCACCAGGAATTTTTGGACATCTGTTAAGCAGTGGGGATCCCCTTCAAACTCTGGAAAATAGTCTTTGATGCTCACTTTTTGTACTTTTTCCTCAAGCAAGTCCGTCTTATTTAAGAAGAGAATGATTGAGACGTTGCTGAAAACCCGGTTATTGACTATTGTTTCAAAAATGTTCAGGGATTCCGTAAGGCGATTCGTCTGCCGATCCTCCATCAGGACTTGGTCAAATTCGCTCGAGGAAACAAGGAAGAGTATTGATGTGACACTGTCGAAGCACTCGAACCAACGTTTCCGTTCTGACCTTTGGCCACCTACATCAACCATTTTGAAAGGGACATTTTTGATTTCGAAGTCGTACTCGTGAATCCCTTTTGTGGGTCTTCGTGCCAGCAGTATATCTTGCTGTGAGGGAAGATAATCCTAAAAAAATAAAGGAGAGTGTGCCGATTAGGACACAAGTCACAGGCACGGCGACCGCAGCTGACTCGCCATCGAGAGAAAAGCTTGCAGAGGAACAGCACGATGTTCTGAATACACACACATGTGTATGTCTATTTTTATACATCTACACTGAGGCAGTTTGGAAAGCGCTAAGTCCAAAGCAGGAAATACACCCAGCATTAACTCAAAACATGTACTCCAGAGAACTGAGGCTTTCCATCTGCCACATGACAAGGATCCATAAACAACCCAAGAGGTGTACCATCATGCCACTTTCCCTCCTTCTGGATGACTTTATACTTCATTCATCCTCCTCCCACAAAGCTGGGAAACGCTCTGGCTGCCAACGCTGCAATGCAGCAAATGGGGTCTAAAACAGGTTTCTCAAATCACAGAATCATGGAATGGT